CACTTTTGTATATATTTTTAATTATTTTCTTGTACATAAATAAATAATATAATATATATATTTTCTTAAAAGAAAAATTAGGGTTTCCACCCTTTCCAAAAATAATCATTAATATTTTTCTTATTTTTGATACATTAAATAATTTATTTTACATACATAAAATAAATATAAAAAAAACATTTTTGCATATTTATATTTAATTGCATATTTAAATATTTTGCTTATTTATTTATTTGTACAAATGAATTCAATTTGGTTGTAATAGTTGAATTAGGATTTTATTTTTGTGCAAATATCCCCCTATTCAAACTTGTATCCCCCTCCCCATATCAATGTTGTAATAGTCTTAGATTTATTTTTACGCATTTTTATTGCTTTAATATGCCATGATAGTAAAACTAGGGTTTGTATGCAAGACAAAAATCAAAACAAATAGCATGACTAAACACAAGACAAAAATGCATGAAAAATGACAACACAATGCACATAAGTAACCCTAAGGTTTCATCCACTTGTTGCCTTAAAAATGGCCATGGTATGCATGCTAGGTATCTTGGAAAAACAAAAACAAAACAAAAAGATCATAGTCCCCCGATGACGCTATCTTGGTTTCCTATACAAAAATGATCTAGTCCCTCAAAAAAACTTGCTAAAGATACTTAGCACTATTGCTATCATGGTCATACGATGACCCGCGCCTGTCCCGTTTAACATCCAAACACAAGGTTGTTTACCAAATGCAATGGTAAAACAACAATATCAAAAAGGTTAAAAATGTATAGGAAAGATATTTGAGTAGGGTAGACAACTCCTAGTTACTTGATCAAAGTTGCAAACCATCCTTGCTAATTTCAAAAATACACAACACAATTTCAAAACAATTTCCCAAAACAAACTTTCAAACATTGAAACATTTTTCAAAAGACAAACACTTTTGTATACATTCAAACAAGAATCATTATAAAGGTTGCCTAGACAAAAGGCCTCTTTTCAAAATACTTTCAAAACCACACACAAAGCACCATTTCAAACAATTGAAAAGCAAAAGCAAGTGATCTAAAACAAGTAACTAAGAGCCCATGGAAAACCATGGATGAAAAGGGTGCTAGCACCTTCCCTTTTTATAATCTACCCCCCGAACCCAAAAACAATCTCAAAGGTCTTTCCTGTGCTTTTTGACCTTTCCTTTGGATAAAACAAAAAGTCGGTGGCGACTCTTGCTAAACCGAAACATTTGCGAACACAAACGTAAAATCTCTAGTCAGTTCTCCCACCATATCACAGTCTCGATAATAAAGCAAATGTGGTAGAAGATTAACGATGAAAGCACTAGATGAACTGGAAAGTTAAAGGGATAAGGATGAGCACTACATGACAAAACATGCAAAAGCTTTCTAGCACCAAAATAAACACACTACGTATATCTTTACATAATAAGTCTATCACAAGACGCTTTGTCCCCTGCAAGCATTACATACTACAAATAGTACTGGTACGAGAGGATAAGATAAGAGAATATTTTGAATTCCATAGGTCAAATAAATGGATAATCATGAGGCTCATGATTCTATGACTCAAGAAAACCCAAAAAGGTAAGAGGTTATAAAAGGAACATCTTGGAGAAATGAAAAGAGGCTCAGAAGTTGAGAAATTTAAGAACTAACTTAGAAAAATACACTTTGTGTGGAGAAGAAAAATTTTGAACCAAAAGTGAAGGAAATATCTCATATTTCCTTTCTTAAAGAATGTAGTGCTACCAGACGCGATAATGTAACTACGAGATGCAGTCTAAGAGGGAGTGAATTAGATTTGCTAGATTTTTCTTGTTTTAGCGTTATTTTTTTTTTTAATTTTCTTCGGATATGACATTGATGCGTTCTTCGCAATATAAAGTGCAACAAACTAAAGAGTAGAAATATAAAGAACACGAGAGATTTATACTAATCCCCTTATCATCCAAGGATACATCTAGTTCTTTCACACCGTGAAAGATTTTCCACTATGTTAGATTTTTGTACTAGTCGCACACCAGAATCTCTCTTACAATATTCTAACATAAATACCAAACATATGGTGGACTTTAAATCTCCCTGAATCAAAGAACCTTTTCCAAAAACACAAAACACTATGAGAGATTTTAATAAAGTTTTATAACACTGATCCAAATAACCTTTTATAACAAACAACTTATCTTACCTTTCAATGTTATAATTTAATAATGCATAAACCTTAAGTGCTCATAATATGTTTATGAAACTTTTGAATGATATGAAAGTTATGCACAAAGTTTTAACATTTTGAAAATGAGTGAATACTTGATAATTTGTTTGAATTGATATGAAATTTTGTTTTTAGAAATAGGTGAATCTGAATTTTTAAAGAGTACATTTTATATCCTTCATGAAACATTATCATGAAGAGATGCATAATCTTTGAAAAATAATTCATGAAGCATTGTAATAATTTTTGAAATTTGAAACTATGATGCAATGCAACCATTAAGGTTTTATAAAACTAAGAAATAATGCAATGATTGTGAAATGTTTTTAATTTGAAAAAATGCATGGTTTCAGATTGGTATTCAGATATAAATAATATTCAAAAATTCAAAATTTGAAAACTAGTATTCGGATACCATATATTAATATTCGAATACCACTCTTTTAAGAGTGAGAAATATGCATCTTTTTCAACTGATATCCAGATACCATATATTGGTATTCGAATACCATTAAGCCAAGTTTGCTTCTGTTTGAGCAATAATCGAATACCTATTTTTGGTATTCGAACACCGTCTTTAGGTTTTCTAAAAAAAGTTATTTAAAATGCGTTGTTTCAAAGTTTATCATGTATGAAGATGCAATAATGTTTTTTTATGAATTGATTATGAGATTTCTTAGCATTTAAAGTACGATATCATGAATTGTAATGAACCTCAATGATAATCCACTTACTTGATGATTCTTATTTTGGATATCTTCATCATTGATATACATTCTGACATTCAACTTTTATTTTTTTATTTTTTTGAAAATTGTTTTCGTCATTAAAACTACTTTATATAGGGGATGAATATCTTCTTCATAGACAAAACTCGTCTCTTGTGGATTAAAGAATGTAAAAAGTAGAAGTGTTACACTTAGGTTTTAATTTTCTTTTCATTAGTGTTTATAAATGTTAATTTTAAGAACCCATGTTATTGTGTTTATCTGGGTCACCATGAGTTAAAATCTTTATGTTGAACAATGTGAAGTTTAATAAAAATTAGTCTTTCATGTTGAATAGTGTGATTTTAGTGATGCATTTTATCATGTGAAATATTGTTATACATGTGTTTTTTTGTTTAATCATATTAGAAATATGTAAAAGTTTGTTAATATTGAAAAATTCTTTGACAAGTGGGACTCGTGATAAATATGGTTGAAAATAGTATAATAGACATATTCACTAGATTACTTTATACATAAAGGATAACAACTAAAGGGGAAATCATAATTCATACAAGACATTCATTAATGTTAGGAGACTTAGAAATTTATTTCTTAACTTATAGTTACATATGCTTTGATGTTGTAGACATACATTATTAGATCACTTTCTGATCTCATCTATCACGACATATCTCATCACTCACACACAAAAGATTAAATTTATTAAATGAATCATGGTCCAACATACCTCTCACTCTTGATTTAATTTCTTTAATCTTACTCATTACTATCCAACCTAAATATGTGACAACCAATAATTATTACAATCCTTTGCTCATGATTATTCACAAAATTTTATCTAAAATATCAATTAAATTAATACAATCTATGTGAAATCGATATTATTACTTTTACATCACTTACGACTATTAAACTGTATATACTTCCAAATATAAATAGCACAACAACCTCGTCACTGATACCAGTGACTTTGAGGACAAATGTATCAAATTGGCCAAAGGCCCAACTACGCATCCAACCCAGAAGCATTCAATTAAGTGGAGATCAAATATATCTACACTATAACATACCACACTATAACATGTCATTGCTTTCATCTCCACCAATGATATGCATCCAATAGACTCTCATAATCCACGTCGGAACAACCAAAAACAATTGATTGACTTGAGTGTTGAAGTATTACTATTACAAATATCTTTCCTCTCTAACCACCAAAGACAATATCACTATACTCAAAGTTTTTACATGATAATTATTTTCAACCAATCATCTATATCTATAGGCCAAAAACAAATTGGCTAAATTACTAATTTAATCTTTTTAAAATATTTTTAGGTTTCAACTTTTGTCCCTTAAAAAGAATTTTTTGACTTTGATTCTTATATGATTCTTTTTGCTTAAGAATGTCATTCTTAAGAAGAATTAATGCTTTATTATCACTTATGAAGTTTGTCTTTGAAGTGACATAAATTGATTTTAAATTAATTAATTTTAATTAAAATCAAACTAAAATTAAATAATTTATATTTAAATAGTATAATATAAAAATGAGTCGAATAATAAATTTATACATAAAAATCAAGTTTAAATTCAAAAACTATAAATTTTAAATTCAAATATAATCAATTATAAAAATCATAATCAATTATACTATTGACGAACCAAACAAGTCATAATCAATCCTTCACTCTAAAACTATTTTTCGTCTTCAAAATAAAATACTAAACATACATAAAATCATGAATTTATAATTTAATGATTTTCAATATATATATATTACAGATTAATTATTATTAATGAATTTGTTAGGTTTATTGTTATATATAAAGAAGAAAACTAAAATTGTCAATTTAAAATGAAAATGGGTAAAATAATTGTGTCCTCTTCTCTCATCCTTCTCAAGCAAGTTTATCTTTTCCTTCCTCTCACCTTTCCAATGGTTGTTCCATCACCATTCCTATTCCTAAACAAAAACCCTCCCATTTTCATTCTCTTGGATAATAACATCACATTTTTCTAAATCAACCCCTTAAACCAAAAACCACAATGGAACAACAATCACCGGAACCAAAACCAATAATTCTACAAAAACCACCAGGTTATAGAGACCCAACCACCCCTCAAAAACACCCTCCGCCGCGAAAAGCACCTGCTCTCCCACCTTCTTTCCGACCAAAACCCAAGAAACGTCGTTATTGTCGCATGTGTTGTTGCACAGTATGCATCCTCCTCCTCATCCTCATCCTCATCTTCATCTTACTCATTGCGCTCTTCCATATCCTATACCAACCTTCTCTCCCGGAGTTTCGCCTTGGTTCCTTCCGTGTTTCGGCTTTCAAGATAACAACAAACGCAGACGGTGGAAGCCTCAACGCAGATACAACAACAATGGTGGATATAAAGAACCGTAACACGAAAATTGCATGGCATTTTGATCAAAGTAGTGTTCAGATACGGGCGGATAATAGTGACTTGAATTTAGGTTCGACGAAGGTGGCAGCATTTGACGTGAAAGAGAGGGATGTATCGAAATTGAAAGCGCAAACAAAGGTGAGACATGAGGTTTTGGATGCGAGACAGAAGAGAAGGTTGAAAAGTGTTTTTGAAAGTAAAGCTTTGATGCCTAATGTGGAGGTTAAAACAAGAACAGGTGTTAATGTTCAAGGTTGGAAATCTATGACCATTGGAGTTACCGTTGTTTGTGGCGGTGCTACTATCAGACAAATTCAAAATGGTGATTCACCTCATTGTTCCTTCACTATTCTCAAATGGTAATCAACAACACTACAAATATTTATTTATTTCAGTATTTTTCATCAAATTAATTAATGATTTATTAATCTAATTTAAGTTCTTGATTCATTGATTACAGGATCAAAATAAAATGAGTTGGGACTTTGTTATTATATGAATATGTATGGATTGGGAGGATTGATGCTCATTTTGACAATTCAAAGGTGAAGAACGTTTTGTGATCGTATAAATTATTTTTAACTTAATTCTTTTTTCTTTTTTCAAAAGTGAAGGAAGAATATAATGTATATATTCTTTTGCTTTTGGAAAAGAAAAGGTGCATTGTCTACAGTAGCTCAAATTGCTGCTTAGTTCTCCCAATTTGGGTTGCACATATATAAGTCATTAGGGTATATAGTGTCAAACTATTAGTATTTGTTATATGTATATAATGGGGTTGTTGATTGGATTTATCACTCCACCAAAAAATGAGAGAGAGTACCTTTTTAAGGTGTAATATATCATTCTCTTTTGAAACTATGGTAAAGGAGAACTTGAGGGCCAAAAATATAGTGTATGGTTAGTGGTTAAGAAGAGAAGGATATGAGATCTTCTTGATTGTGACATATCTTGACAAATATGCTGTATCTGCTTTTTATTTTATTTTCTTTTTTTGTTGTTGTAAAGCATCATTGAATTTCTTTTATTTTCATTGCATAAGAAATTTGGATTGAATCCAATTAATTTTACAAGCATTATTGCAGAGATATCTGTTTTTAAAAACGAAATCAAATTCCCAATATCTCATTTATTTATTTTTAAGATATAAAATTCTATCAAGGTAATTACTAAAAAATAATCTAGGTAAACCATAATCCCACTAGACTTTTGATATGAACTAGTGGATACTATGCAAATATATTTGCACAGATATCGGTATATGACACGTATTTAAATTCAAAAATAAATTTAAAAAATAAAAAGTATTTTATTTTTCAAAAATATATTTAATATTAAATATAAAAATAAAAGAAATTGTCATCAATTTAACAAAGAAATTAAGAAATATAAAAATATTATTGGAAACTATAAAAATAAAATATAGATTGTTTTAATTAAAATGATAGATTGGTTCCAACTTTGCTAATTATATATAAAATTATATTTAAATAAAATAAAAAAGAGTTGTGATAAATGAATTATAAAAAAGTATTGCAGCATATTAAATAAATAATATTACATTAAATAAAATATAAATGATCAAGAGGGAAAAATTTAATGAACTCAAACATGAATTTGACTTTGTAGTCCGGTAAATGAATATAAAAAGACATAATAATTAGAAAATCGAAACACAGTAAAAAAATAAAATTATAAAAATTAGACTGTATATAATTAAGTAGAACATAAATTTTTATAAAGATTAGAATATATATAATTAAGTAGAATATAAATTTTTATAAAGATAAAAATATATATAATAATCAAGTAGAACATAAACACCCATATTCTCATGTTTTTTTTATTTAATACTTTTTTACTTAATTTATTTACGTTTTTTTAATTTAAATTATTTTTATAAATATTTTACTTTTTATGAAATTATATTTATTAAATAGTTATTAAAATCATAATTTGTGTCCAACAGCCACTATCTTTTCAGCCCAAAGACACTTTCAATACTACTCAATCGGAATGAAGTGTGTAATAGAGTTTTATAAAACACTTTGTTTAGTGATGGGGGTATCATTTCTAAAACTAATAGTTTCCCTGATAGATAACAAGATACATGATAGTATTAATAAACTTGGTATGTGCTTGCAATACTTTCACAATTTATTAGAATCCTACTAAAAAGAGAGGTGAGCACATGTTTACATGATAGTGTGAATACACACTTTGAAACTGAAGCATTTCAACAATGACATAACTGAACCAGTTTCAAAGGAATGCTGGAAACGCTTGATATGCATCATTTCCTTCACTGTTTTTACTCTACATCATTACCACTATTTGGTTGTATCATATTCATCTGTTATCATCACCACCATCACCTTAATAATCGTGAACACAGTGCTTAATAATCATTCATTTCTTCACCTCTTTGTTCTTGTTCTTGACAATTTTTCCAACAACAATTTGGCATAACATGTTAACAAACAGTATTCTTGTTCTTTGTTTTTGTTGTACAATTAGAATAATGATGGTGCAGCTTCATCTAACTTCTCTTCTTCCGATGTTTCTCGTTTGTTGGAGTTGACATGTCCACAAACAAACAATTGGTGTGCAAAAAGCTCATGTTCACAAACAATTGCATTCTATACATTCTTGTTATTTTGAATATTGAATAATGAGAATCTTTTGTTGGTGCACAAGGTTAATAAATGAAGAAAAAGAACGAGAGAATAATATTAAAGTTCTGCAATGACGACTATAAAGTTGTAAGGAAGAATGATTTTTTTAAACTACTTTATGACAGTTACCACTAGTCTATTTATACACAAAGTAAATTGCCACTAGGCCCTAACAAAAAACAAACTTAATAACTAAGCAAGCTAAACTTAACTGCTACGCTAACAAAAGAACTAGAACCCCAGAAGCTAAACATACTTCTGGACGTAACCTCAAAAGCTTCTGCTTCTGACTAACAACCTCAGAAGCTCTATTGCTTCTGAGCAACATTGCTTTTGAGCAACACTGTTTTTGAGTAATAACATCAGAAGCTTCTGATTCTAATAACAACTTCTGAATATGAATTACTTCCAACACCATCCCTTAATTCATATTCAGCTAATCAAAAAACTATAATATCAATTCCATCTCTCAAATGGATAAAGTGTTCAGTCTTGACATCTTTCGTCAGAACATTTGCAAGTTGCTTCTGATTTCTATAGTGTGCAACTTCTAATACTCCATTTAGAAATGCCGATTTCTTCTTGAAAACCAATCTAACGCTGATGGTTTTCTTCTCCTTTGAAAGCTAAGTTAACTCCCAAATCTTGTTTCTTTGTGGCATCAGGCCTTGCTCAAAATCTCCTTCTGATTCTGTAACAAAATCTTCTTCTGGACTTTCTTCAGAAGTTCGAATACCACCAGAAACTCCACCTTTGTTAACTTTTGGACCTCGTCCAGAACCACTACCTTCAGAAATACCATCTTTAAAAATTAGATCGCCTTCAGAAGCTCTCCCTTCAGAAGTTCCTCCTTTAAAATCATGATCACCGTCGAAGGCTGGATTACATTAAGAAGCTCCTCTTTCAGATGATCCACCTTTAGAGACATGATTTTCACCAGAAACATGATCATCTTTAAAAGCTTATCCTCCAGAACCTACATCTTCCGAGTTTTCCATTCTAGAAGCATGATCACCACCATATTCAAAATATAGATCAGATTCAGATTCACCATCTGACTCGGGAGTCTTCAGAAGATTCTTTATCTTTTGACTCTAGCTCTTCTTCAGAACTTTCAAGTTCTGACTCATCTTCATAACCTTCAGGTTCTGATTCATCTTCAGAAGAAGAATCTTCTTCAGATTCCGACTCATCTTCTGATTCTTCTTCAGACTCAGAATCACCTTTGGATTCAGACTTATCTTCAGCTTCATAGTCATCTTCTAACTCTGACTCATTTTAAGAAACCTCAGATTCTGACTCATCTTCATAATCTTCAGCGTCATCTTCTGATCCTGACTCATATTCAAACACTCCTTCAGAGTCAGAATATTCAGAGTCATCATATTCCCCTTCATAATTATAAAATGACAATTTCACAAATTCCTCATCAGATTCATAAGCCATTAATAGCACATGTTCATCATTAAAATCTCCTATGGCTATTTTTGCTTCTTCTTTGTTTGACCAACAATCTTTAGCAAAGTGCCCAAACTACTTACAACAGTAACACTGAACCATTCTCTATGACATTAAAAGGTATATAGAGAAACAAGAATATCCAGAAAATACCTCTGTGATTGACAAACGAACTCTGCAGAAGCTATCTTCAAAGTTCTTTCTGAATGGTGATGTATTGTACAAAAAAAACTACAATATGGTATTACTCAGGAGCGTGGAGAAACATGAAGCAGATACACTTATGAGATAAGTTCATGAAGACACCTTTAGAACTCATACATATGAACATGCCATGGATAGAAAGATCTTGTGAGCAGGTTATTATTGATTGGCGATAGAAGCTGATTGCTACCATTATACAAAGACATGTAACAAAATTTCCAAATCTATGCCGACAAAACACATGTGCCATCGACTCCTTTGAATGTCTTAAGTTCTCCTTGGCCATTTTCAATGTGGGGAATTGATATGATAGGAATGATCGAGCCGAAAGCCTGTAACGGACACCAGATCATACTAGTTGCCATCGACTACTTCACCAAATATGTGGAAGCCGCGTCCTACACAAATGTGACAAGACAAGTGGTTACTTAGTTCATCAAATAGAATCTTATATGCAGACATGGGGTTCCTAGCAGGATCATTACAGATAACAGGTCCAATTTTAAAAACAAAATAGTGAAGGAGTTATACGATGACTTCAAGATCGAGCATCATAATTCATCATCATATTGACCCAAGATGAACGAGACCGTTGAAGCTGTCAATAAGAATATTAAGAAAATCATTCAGAAATTGGTGAAAACATACAAAGATTGGCATAAGATGCTTCCCTTCACTCTACATGGCTACCGCACTTCCGTACGTATATCCACATGTGCAACTCCCTTCTCTCTAGTGTATGGCATGGAGGCAGTACTCCGTGTTGAAGTAAAGATTCCATCACTATGGGTTTTAATGGAAACAAAGCTTGAAGAAGCAGAGTGGGTTTAGACGCAACTTGATCAACTTAACCTCATAGAATAAAAATGATTGACAGCTCCGTGCCACAGTTAATTGTACCAAAAGCGAATGAAGAAAGCATTTGACAAGAAGGTCCGTCCTCGAGTGATCAGAGAAGGAGACTTCGTGCTGAAAAAGATTCTACTACCTCGCCTTGATTCACGCGGTAAATGGACACCTAACTATGAAGTTCCATACGTATTAAAAACATCATTCTCAGATGGTGGTCTTATCCTCACAACAATGGATGAGGAAGAACTGCCACATCCAACGAGTTTAGACGCAGTCAAAAAATACTATGTATAAAAAGCTCGCTAAGTTCAAACCCTAAATGGACGATTTAGGAAAAAATGACCGTCCCAGTGGATTGAAAACCCTAAAGGGCGACCTAGAAAAAAATTAGGGTCCTACACAAAAAAACTTTATCCCGGTGGATTGAAGACCTGAAAAGACGGTCCAGGAAAAAGTTAGGGATCTTATTAAAAAATAAATAACAAAAAGAATGCGACCTAAGAACCACGACTAAGACCATGAAGAGCGGAATTGATCCAAGTTATTCAACTCAGAAGCAAATGAGATTGGAGCTATCAAGAGAACATTAGAGAAACAGTAGTGGTAATTATCATTTTCATTGCCATTTTCAGTTTTTGTTAAAATTTCTGTAATTACCTCTTTCAAGTAATTGCATCATGTACTATCACCTATTCAGAGGCATGTTTATCAATAAAACATTTACTTTTCAATCTTTCAATTGTGTTTTTTCCTTTTCGGACTTGTTTGCAAATATTACAATTATTTCTTGTGAATACTACGTTGAAATTATTTTGGGGATTAGACAAACAATTAAAATATTTAATAAAAACATCAAAGAGCATTTTGGTTAGAAAAACATAAAAAAAAATCCATGTCTACGTCTGCGTCTACGCCTGCATCCACATCTACGTCCACGCCTACACCTACGTCTACGATACAATCCTGCTGACACCACTCATCTTGTTCAAATCAATTAAAAATACCACGACAATGCAACATACAACATTAGAGAGTTGGTGACACAAAACCCATGGTTTAAAGGGAGAGAATATTAAAACATTTGGTGCATACACAAACATTTAGGGTATATACAAACATTTGGGTGCATACACAGACATTTGGGGCATATACAAACAAGTACATTTAGGGCATATATAAAATACTCGGTGCATATATATTTTGGGTTCCATATCAGCTTAGGGAATTATGCATGACATTTTCCGAACACATCTTTGGTTAAAACTACGAACTTTCTTGGGGTCCATCATTGGATTATCAGGTCCACAAAATAAACAAATACCTTGGTTGAGAACAAACACAACCGGTAGACTCCGATCTTATCTTTGGTCTAGTTATCTAAGATTTGATTACCTAAACACTCTTCAAATATCTATCCTTTAGATTGTGGTAGATATGCAAATTTTCAGGATTACATTATTTATCTTCTAGGTCATGATAAGTACGTAAGACTACCCATGTATTATTTATCCTCTAGGTTGTGATAAACACACAAACTTTTCAAATAGCTATCATCTAGGTTGTGGTAGGTATGCAAATTGTCGGGTTTATGTTATTCATCCTCTAGGTCGTGATGAATACGTAAGACTATTCTCGTGTCATTTATCCTCTAGATCGTGATAAATGCAGAAGTTCTCCCTCGTAGTATCTATACTCTAGGTTGTGATAGGTATGGGAATTATCAGGTTAATGTTATTCATCATCTAGGTTGTGACGAATACATAAATCTATCCTCGTTTTATCTATCCTCTAGGTTGTGGTAGATATGCGAATTATCAGGTTTATGTTATTCGTTCCCTAGGTCGCAATGAATATATAAGTTTGTCCTCGTGTCATTTATCTTCTAGATCGTGATAAACACATAAACTTTTCAATTATCTATCCCCTAGGTTGTGATAGGCATGTGAATTTTCAGGGTTATACTATTTATCCTCTAGGTCGTGGTGAATACATAAGCCTATACTCGTGTTATTAATCCTCTAGGTCGTGATAAATGCAAATGTTTATCCTCGTATTGTTTACTCTCTAAGTTGTAGTGAACAAAACGAAATCTGAGATATAATTCATTGTGTTAGTCTCCATGCGGAAATGTATTATCAACTTTGTTTTACTCATCCCCTAGGTTGTGATAAATAGACAAAATCTGTGTTATAAGCTTACTATGTTAGTCTCGAAGTATTAGTAAGTCAATTTTCAAACTTGTGTTATTTACCTCATAGGTTATGGTAAATACGCGAAAAATCTATGATCTCTTTTAAATATTGACGAGTTATCTACGTCGTCGTATCTAAATCAATCATACTCTACACTCTAACTCTAGTAGGATGATACATCATCATCTTTGCCTAGTTTTTTCGTTCTCTGGGGTATGCTTTACAATATATCCTTATCTACCCAACCTTGGGTCAAATTTTGGGGTCTTCCATTATTTAATAACTCTCCGATTCGAATGTACGAGACCTACATATTCTCGCGCCCTTCAGTCGAAGAGTAATTAAATAGGGGCAATTGTTATACCCCAAATTTGCTCGCCCTTTATTTCTACAGTCAAAAATATTTTCAACATTGGTTTTTATAATATTCCTTGGTTCAATTTTACTAACATTTTAACAATAATTTATTTCCCTCATTTAAAAATATATAGTAGTTTGTTTCAAATTATTTGTATTTAAATAGAAAATACTTGTTCACTTTCATATACTTTCAATTAGGTTTTTTTATTTCAAATGAGTAACATAGTATAGTTCGTAAGGAATGAAGCTCTCAAGTATGAGATCGCGGGTTCGAATCTCTTTTAATATTTTATTTTTGTTACTAATTTCATATGAGATCTATTTTTAATTTCAATTTGGTTGTTGTCTTAATCAAATGATGAATATATGATGGTATATTTTTTAAAATTTATATTCTTCTTCACAACAATTGCTCATTTAATATTATACACACTTAATTTCTAACACTCTCTTCATCTTATTGAAAATTATTGTTTATTTCAAGTGACAGTAACAACTCACCTTGTACAAACCTACACACACTTGTAACACGGTATATACAAAACACAAACCCAATGTTATTGCACAATACTATCTATCGGCTTCATAACATCACTACTCCAAAACATAAACAAATTTCAGTCATCAACCTTGCAAATTACTAAACCATGCAATTCCAAAACCTGTAAATAAATTCATAAAGCAATACAAGTTGTACAATTTTTTTCATATTTGTTGGTTTGCAGAAGAAGAAGAATTGGATTCAGAAGCCGAAACTGTCGAGGAACCCAAATCAAATCAAGAATCGACGAAGATGCCCATAGCCACCAAATCGTGATTTCATGATGCCATTAATCACACCAGTGACCGCCCAACATCAAACCAGTCACGCACGTCCGCCATAATTGCTACATGCGATGATACCACGGGCGCGCGCAGCAATCCAAATCGTTGTCGCCGATAATTCCAAACATCCACCAGATATGTACTGCTCTCCAACCAAACCACTCTGCGAAGACATAACTACCTCTCTTCATCGGTTGACTGACGCCGACGAGCTTTACCACTGGACGAACATCCTCTCGCAGTCGGTCCTATTCATACATCTGCCATTTTCTAATAGTAGCTTTATCTTCTTCTTTTATTTGAAATCTTGATATTTGATTATTTTGTTGTTTTTGTACTGTGGTGATAATAGAAAAACTGGCTTCCATGGAGGATGAAGTTAAATTTGAAATAGAGAGATAATAGAAGCATTAAAGGGGAAGCTGGTACTAAAAGGTGAGAAAAGGATTTGTTCATTGCAGCTTTCGTTTGTATTTGTGATCTACTGCTAGTTTTTTATTTATAAAAGGGCCTTGCACATGTCGAGAGAGAATTGGGCAGGGAATATTTTTGAAAACCAAAATCTCTCACCAAATGGGACGCCACCCCAGGATCATATATGTATTGATTTTTTACCTTATTTTCTTTAATTATCTAATTAAAGAATTAGGATTTTTGGTGGGTTGGGCTTTGATTTCTATATCATTTTACTGAACTAAGTTTACACTCCCACTTGTATTTTGGATCAGTTTAATATCTAAACTTGAGTCTTCACTTGCCAGACCCTCATATTTGACTATTCTGTTGCAAAACGCACCCCTCAGCCAATTTGGGCTCAAAATATCTTTGGGTCCAGATTTTCTTCTAATACACCACTCATCCTTAATATTCCCACCCTCCTACAAAAGCGGGGCGAGTTCAATTTCTGAAGTTGAGCCTTAATATCCTCACCCTAAAACAGCTAACCAATAACAAACCACTTTTCCTACTAACATAACAAAACTCAAGATATTTTCATAAAAAAGATTAAGGAGAATTACTTTCAAAATTAACTGTGAAATGTGTCTACGATCACTCTTTTACAAAACTCAGACAAGGTTCAAGGATAAATGCAAAAGCAATTCTACGTAATCCTATAAAAAAACACCAATAAATACTACAAACTACGATTTGGGACTCTGATTCCTCATAAGGGGATACGTTGGCATACGACTTAAAATCATGGCGAGTTCCCCTAATAAAATTCAAAACTCTATTTCTTGAATTGTAAACCTAAACCCTAATATCCTTGTGAACAAGGTAGATGAGGGGCGCCTAACACCTCCCCTACGTCTAAAACGAGTCAATAACTTAGAATCTCTGATCAAATTAGGGTTATCCATTATATTTCCTTCCCTAGGATAAAAATTAATGGTGGCAATCTGGATTTAAAACCGATTATTACAACTATATAATCTTGCTTTTCAGGCCATTGTGAGTACAAACTTCGTCGTCAAATGTTTTGAATGATGTCAAAACTGGGAAAAGCTCGCACTTCTGAACATTGGATGGTATCCTTATGTCTTTTGGGACTCCTCTATATTAGAGGTCTTAGGAATCATTAAAAAGTATTTTGAAATTGATCCAAGTCATTAAAAATAATTTTCTGCATAATTTTCCAATGCATGTGTCGACACATCCGTTTTTTAGGTAGACACATGTAACTCACTTTTAAATCTTGTAGCTTCTGTAAGTCTCAGGTCGACACATGCCTCATTTCAGGTCGACACATACTGAAGTATTTCTGAAAATGCAAAAATCTTTATTTTATGTGTCGACACATGCATTTTCCAGGTCGACACATTTACTATCATTTTAAAGCCTGTAGCCAATGACTTGGTTAGGTCGACACATAACATGTTATAGGTCAACACATACAGTTTAAAAATTACGTATGTGTCGACACATACGATTAATAGGTCGAAACATATTGTTTGTTTGGGAAAATTTCATAAATCTTTTTATTCATAATTTTCCCTCTTTGCCCTAAATGTTCCAAAACTATAAGTACTCTCTCATGTGTCATTCATAACTTGGTGAAACCATAAAAATTAGCCTATTTCTCTCATCATCTTCAACCTCCAATATATGCATACACACTGACATTATATTGTAGCGATGTTCTGTTAGGGTGCCATCTAGACGAGGATTATTAGTGTCTAGTTGTGTATTGGGTTTAGTTTTCTAGGGGTTTTCATCCAAGCAAAAACATCGGTTTATCCTCCAAGATCATTGGTTGGTTTGGGGGTTTTCGTGCGAGATCGTTTGAGAAGGAATCGTCCATGTGAATCACCTTGGAGTGTTTGAAATCGTTGCAAGGAATCTTGTAGTGATTGAAATATTTTCAAGGAAGTAACAAGTATTGTAAGATACAATCGAAGATCTTATGTTGATAGAGTGCAATCAGATTTACTCGAGTGAAATCCCTTGGAGTGTTTGAAGTCTTTGCAAGGAAGTAGCTTAAGTGACAAATAGGTTGCATCTATTATTTCTTGGTCTTGCTCAAGATCAAAAGAGGAGAATGGGTTCAATTAACAATAAGCTTATGGTTTTTGGAGTTGGTCTTAAACACTTCTCTTATATCAACAATTTTACATAGTAAGAATTATCCTAATTCCATTGGAATTAGGCCCAGACGTACCCACACGTGAGGACGACAGTGGGGATTTGTGAAGACAAATTCCTCGTGTCTCTTTTATTTTTTCTTTTACTTGCTTTGATTTTCATTGATCAATTTATCAAATAACATTGTGTTATCAATTGAATTGTAAGAATTTCCCTAATCAGTTTTTATTTTATTTTAAATCTAGTGTTGATATAGCTTATAGTCACTTTTGATTATAATTGGTTTTGTGTATCAACACAACCAAAGGAAAAATTCTGAAAATTCACTTGTACACCATGTGTTTGATAAATTGATTCAACTAGCTCTTTTAATATTACAATTGGAAATAAACTTGCAAGTAATTTTCATTAAACGATAAATAAGTTTCAAAGTGATTCAAGATTATTAATCCATCTTATCATTCAGGTTCCATATTATTTTTGTTTTACAGTTCACATATTCCAGCTTCCCAATAAACGTTCGTATATACGATATTTTGAAAAGCTTCTGCATCATACTTTGATAAAATAACTTTTTTCAAAATCAAAATTTATTTGGTAATTCTTAAAGGGGTATCTTTTCACCCCCTATAGATATATTGTCGTCGTCTAACAAGTTTTATCAGAGCATGGTTAAAATTATAGTTATTTGAAAGCTTGTATGCAAATTCATGTCAACTCATATGACAAAGGTGTTTGGGAAGCCATTCAAGATATTCCAACACCAGTGACATATGTTATTGATGGTGCAACCGTACCAAATACATAAAACTTATGGGATGAGAATGATAATAAGAAGTGGTCTTATGATCGGAAGGCTAAGAACAACATCATATCCGCTCTTGGTGTTGATGAGTTCTATCGCATTTCCCATTGTCAAACTGCTAAAGCTATATGGAATTCTCTACAAGCTACCTATGAGGGAACTAATAAGGTTAAACAATCTAGAACTAATACACTTAATCAAGAGTTTGAAATCTTTTGCATGAAGCAAGAGGAAACCATTCTTCAAATGCAAAAGAGATTCCCACATCTTATTAATCGTTTAAATTTACTAGGCAATCCTATTTCCAATGCTATTGCTACGAACAAGGTGTTGAGATGTCTTACTAGAAATTGGAAACCAAAGGTCACCCACCGTGATCAAGGAAGCCAATAATCTTGCAACACTTGATCTCACCACTTTATTTGGAAAGTTAGAAGAATATGAGAAAGAACTCAATTGCTTAGATAAACATGAAAAGAAGCTTGAGAAAAAGAAAAAGGAAAAAAGGGGTTGTGAATGAGGAAGTGTTGAAGTCTAAAGCTCTCAAGGTTTCAAGTTCAAAGTCCTCAAGGAATGAGCCTACTAATGATAGTGACTCTAGTAATGAAGAGAACTCTAATGATAAAGAAATGTGATTATTTATAAGGAGATACAATCGATACATTCAGAAGAATGGTGTTAAACATTATGATAATATGGAAGTTCTATATAACTTGATATTTGCTTTGGAACCAAACCATAAATTGATAACTTGAGAACTTGTTCATCTCATTAGAAACACCTCCAGACTCTCTTAAATTCAGAAATTGTTCAAAAAACTCCATTAAAACATCAAAAAATCATTTCTTCGAAATTCTCAAACCTTGTAAGCTTTATGCAATCTAACCATCCAAACACTTCATAATCATCATTTAGAACTTGTCCAAACTCTTGTTACACTTTGTAGCAACTGGTTTTTAAATTAAGAGTCGCCATTATCAGTTTTTATCCTAAGGAAGGGAACCTAATAGAAAACCCTAATTCGCAGATAAAGATTCTAGGTTTCAGACTAAATTAGACAAAAGGAAGGTGTTAGGCACCTTTCGTCTACCTTGTTCACAAGGATATTAGCCCTAGGTTTAGGTTTGGGGTAAACAAGGTTTTAAGTTTTAATTAGCAAGACTCGCCACGATTTTAGATCGCGTGCCTACGTATCCTCTTATGAGGAATCAGAGTCCCAATTCGTAGTTCGTATGGGTTGGTGTCTTTTAGAGGGTTTGTAAACACATTTTGAATCACTTCGCACTCGGTCGGGAGTAGTGATTGCGGAAATTTTGACTGAGTATGCCGTAAGCAAAAATTAGTTCGAAACCCATTTGCAAAAAAGACTGTTGATTAGCTTAGTTTGTTCGCAAAAATGATTTGGGATTTGTTTGTGTTTTTTATTGTGTTAATTGCGAAGAAGTCTTGATTAATGCACGGTTGAAAATGTTTTAATGCAAATAGTATAGAAAATAATATATGCAATTTCCATGAAAATGATTTATTTTATCATATAATAATATTTACATATAATAAATGATTATTAATATATAATAATAGAAATTAATAATAATAATTGATATAATTATTGGCAATTAGTAAAATATAAATAAAATACAGCATATATAAAGAAAATATAAAAGAAATAAGAAGAATAGTAATAATTTTAAATAAAACCTGGGGGGTGCAATTTGTATTAGCAAGTAAAATATGTAGGGTGTCAAAACAAGCTGGCTAAGGCCCAAATGACTCAGGCGAAGGGGGGTGTATTCTGCTTAACATTCTAGCAACTTAGGGAAAGGGCGGTGTGGATAGCAGTTGGGCCTAGGCCCAAACGGATTGAGAGAGGCCTAGGGGATCCTATGTGACGCAGAACAAAGATTTATCATGGAACTTGGCCTA